AAGATTCATTGAAGAGGCTACAGTCTTCCAAAAGCCCTGGAGATGGGCTACTGTTATTACGCAGTGTGCCTAGAGTGTGGGGGCATAGGTGCGTCCCCTCCTCTTCTGCCTTCCTCCCTCCCCCGGGCTCACATCTGGAAGGCCTTTCTGGAAATGGGGAGGCCTGAGTTCAGGGTGGTCTCAGTAGAAGGTAACCTTTCCTGGCTCTGCACCTGTGTATGAAATTGGTACCCAATTAGCCTGTGAGCTAAAAAACACCCAGGCAACACTTTTTTTCCATATAGCTGCAAGCTGCAGCCTTCTTGTGCTGTGCATATAAAGTACCGATCCCGTCCACTACCCCTTCTACAGATCATAGCCCAGCTTCATCAGGGGGCTTTCCCAAGACCCCCTAAAGCCTGGACCACTTCTCCTGCTCTCCTTAATACTTCCATATCATTTAATAAAATTCCCTCGACTGATAAGCAGCTATTGGCACTCCTCAAATGTGAATTTTCTCTGCAGAGAAGTAAAACAGAAACAAACATATTTGGAAGACAGCAAGACGGGGCTTCACAAATGAACATTTTCTTACAAAGTGATATCAATACCCTTTGCTGATTAGTCACCAAATGGTAAATATCACAGGCATGGTCTTTGAAGAGTTAACATTTGGTAATTTCCGTATGTCATTGTGAGAGTTATGATTGTACTTATCATGCTACTTTAAGTGTTTCTCTTTTTAACTTACATTTTTAAAATGAAGGCAGTATTCTGTGGCGAAGTGATGTTTTTGCTCTCTAGGAAGGATATTTCTTATGTTTGACTCATTTTCTGCTGTTGGAACCACATCTGTAGTATACTCAACTAGTGCAGGGTGTGCTTTTAATAGACTGTAATTTGGGGACCACATTATAACAATACCAACCACAGATTGAACACCAGAAATGCCAGTCAATTCCCTATGTCATCTAATCCTTCAACTCTCCCAGTTGAGTAGGCTTACACCAAATTTCATAGCCAGTAGGGCGCAGAGTCCTAAAACTCAAAGCCTATGCTAAGGCCATTTGATATTGTTGCCTCAACAAATGCCTCTTTTTCGCATGAAGCCTTTGTGCTTTCTGGTCCCCTTGAAGTGCCCAAATTGAAGTGATTTTTCCATTCTCCAACCTTATTCCAAGATTATGAATAGGGTCTGCGTAGAAGTACTGAATATTTCTCAGAGCTGTATTTTACTATATCAAAGTCTATCATGTAATCCCTGAAAACTGGTAATACAATGCTATGGTGATTTATGTAGATGGGCCAGAGTAAGGAAAAGTATACCTAGTTATCTCTCCTGGATTTATTCCTGTAATTGAATGAGGAACAAAGATGTTTTGTTCCTTAGCAGGAGCTGATAGCACACAACTACCCTTCAAGAAATGGAGTAGAACTGTGAATGCTTCATTCAGGCCCAAGTAAATATAGGAAGAGGTAGAGTGGTATAGAGTACCGAGGTAAAACATTTTAAAAGTAATGGGGAGAGGGAATGTATGATATATGTCAGGTGCTAGATATACCTGAAACTGAAATGGAAAACAGAGGTCCCATATATGTGGCTATGGAGAAGGAAGAGTAATAGAACGAGGTCTGGGCAGTGAAAGCAAATGAGAAGTGGAATGATTTATGGCTGTGGAAATAATGTCCTGTTTCCCTTTTAACAGAATCAAGTAACAATTGTCAGTGTCCTTTCTGTATATTCACAAACTGGTTGAGTGAACAAATCTCGATTTTCAATTATTGATTACACAATAAGGCCAGTTTATTATAGCAGTGCACTCCATTCATGGGTGCAGGAAAGGAAACAAATTCTGTAAGGAAATGATATTCATATTGCTTTTCTCTTTGCAAATGAAGACAGCGGCCTCTGCTTGGAAGACAAACAGTCTTTACTACTCTTTGGAATTCCTGGGAAGTAAAGGTGTCAAATGATTCAAAAGTAAACCAAAACGTGCTGTTTTGATTTTCCTTCTTGTCTACTGCCCATTGTAAATTCTAAAGTCTTTATATTTTGTGTTTTAGCCACGAGACCCAAACAACTTGCTGGGACCATCCCAAAATGACAGAGCTCTACCAGTCTTTAGGTAAGGATGTGACCATGTTTCTTGGAGATTAAATGACATGTGACTTTCTGTAGATGGGATTTGTAAGGTACAAGCCCGTGCGATATAAATATATCGCTCAATTATTTTAAGGGTAAAAGCAACAGCACCTTTCTACTCAGAATTGACAATCAGATCCCCCCCCAGAGATCTGGTAGTAATACCCTTTGGAGTTTAACTTTCTTGCAACTTCAGCATACCTGAAGGTTTTTTTTATTTGTGACCTGAAAGGGTGGAGAAGCACAGCTGTGTTTTTACCCCCAAACACATTGTTTCAAATTGTTCTTTTTTGTTTGCTTGCTTTTTGTTTTTGTCTTTTTGAGACAGGGTCTCACTCTAAATTCAGGCTGGCCTTGAACTCCCCCATGGAGCCCAGGCTGGCCTGGAACTGCAGTGATTCTCCAGCCTCAGCCTTTGAGTGCTGGGATTAGAGGCGTGTTCCATCACACCCTCAAGTTATTCTTTATGATTTCTTCTATGTGAAAATAAGATGGTGCTTTTGCCAAATTATGAATATTGTGTCAAAGAGTTCTGCCATCGTGCTCGTGCTCACAGTTCCTAAGTCCTGTCAGGCTGTGAGTATGATCATTTAAATGATTTCTTTACTATGGCTTGCTTGGTGTCACTGTGAGAGCCTGATGGGTTGTTTTCCTCTCATAACTTGGAATTTTTTAAACAGGCGCACAGCATACAAATAAGGGGAAAACATGAATCTCATTAACATTCCACGGTTCATTCTGTCTTCTTAGCTTTGTAGGGAATAATCCAAAATGCATTTTCTTACACTGGTTAGTTTTTTTTTTCTGGTTACTTTTTCTTTTTAATTCAGAAAAAGTCACGCCCTCTCTATTTTTTAAAGTTCATTTTTATAAATGCACATGTTTATTGATTAAAATACATGAGGTAGATCACTTTGGGTTTAATGTTACATTATAAAGTCCATAGGAATCAAGATGCCTAAGCATAAATTTGTGTGTGTGTGTGTGTGTGTGTGTGTGTGTACCCACCACTGACTTTCTGCCAAGTTTTCATCGGTTAATGAATTGTAGCTACGGAGACACTAAGGACTAGATTAGGAAATAGTCACCAAAAATTATTTTGTTAAATACTTTCTCTAATTATAAATGATAGCAATTTCTTCTAGAAAACCTGAAAAATACAAAAATTGAGAAAGGAAACATTATCTATAATTGTCCTAGAGAGCAATACTCAATACAGCTCAAGTAACAGTAGATTATGTCAGTGTAGCAATAAGTGCATGAACTTTTTCAAATTTAAATTTAACTGGAGCCAGCGAATCTTGGAGCAATACATTTTCAGCCCCTGCAGAAGGTTTTTGGCTTACAAAACAGGCCTATTTATACTACAGGTGGAAAATGTGAAGGCTTCTGTTTTGGCAAACGAGAGAATGAAGTTTTCAAGTGAAGTCGGCTGCAGTAGCAGTAATGCTGGGCGAACAGATCTTCCTAGCCCAGGACTCTCAGGACCTCTGAGTTTCAAGAGAAACTAGATATCTGTCATCAAAGGGCTGATTTCAACTTGTCTAGGAGCCTCCTGATTATAACCTGTAGTTTATAAAGATCTAGCCCACTGATAACATTTTTGACTATTGTTGCTAGGATCTCTAGTTGTAATATTGTGAGCTACTATTTTATTTTAAGGCCATTATTACAGAATTTACACTTGTTCAATTTTTAAAGTTTAAAAATACAGGTGGGGCTGGGGATGTAGTTAGTAGTAGAGTGCTTGGCTCATGTTCATCAGGCCCTGGGTTTGATCTCTAACAACACACACACGCACGCACGCACGCACGCACACACAAAAGGGCAGAAAAGTACATGTGCACTTACATACAGACATATATACATATGCATACAAACACATTAACAAAGAAGAAAATCATCCATAAACCATCCCTTAGCGTTTTATGCTTACTAGTCTGTTATCTTCAAAAATGACTTTCCAGGCAGGTGTGGTGGTACATACCTGTAATCCCAGCATTCTAATAGATCAAGGCTGCAAGATTGGAATTTGAACCCAGCATGAGCAATTTAGCAAGACCTTATCTCAAATAAAAACTAGGTTTTTAAAAAGCTGGGTATGGTGGTACATGCCTATAATTCCAGCATTCAAAAGGCTGAAGCAGAAGGATAGCCATGAGTTCAATGTCAATCTGAACTACATGATGAGATCTTATCTCAACAAAACAACAAAAATTGTTTTTTTAAAAAGGAGGCAGCCAAATAGCTCAGCCCATTAAAGTGCCTGCAAGCAGGTACAGGGGCTGGGCCTGGGGTTTGATCCCTAGGCCTGCCTTGCCAGCCCCGCCCCAGGGTGTGCTGAGATAGCAATTGAGACTGGGCATGGTGGTATGTGACTATAATCCCAGCTCTTGGGAGGCTGTAAACAAGTGGATCACTATGAATCCGATTTAATAGCGAGACCCTGAACACCCTATAGACCCTTCCCTAAAATACAAAAAGAAAAAAATAAAAATAAAAAAGGGCTGGGGACATTTTTCAGTGCGAAAGCCCTAGATTCAGTTCTCAGTACCAAAAAAATTCTGTGTTTAGCCGTATTACATGATGGCATGTACCTGAACTCCCAGCTAGTGGGAAAGCTGAACAAGAAGATTGCAAATTTGTGGCCAGTCTGTCACTGTCTGAAGATAAAATTTTAGTGATACAAAGTTGATAATGGAGCTTAGTGGTAGAGGACTTGCCTAGCATGCATGAGGCCCTATATTGATCATTAGTACTGCAAAAAAAAAAAAAGAAAGAAAGAAGAAAAGGAAAAAAGAAAAAAAAAGAAGGGCCAGCCAGATAGCTCATTGGACTAAAGCACCTGCTCAGGCAGAGCCCAGCAGCTGGGGTTCCATCCCAGGCATGCTATGCTGGCCCCACCCCCAGGGTGTGCTGAGCCTGAGATTGAGAATAGGCTGGGCGTGGTGGCACATGCCTGTAATCCCAGGGTTTGGGAGGCTGAAAACAGAAGAATCACTTAAGAGTCCAGTCTATATAGTGAGATCCTATAGACCCTGTACTAAATACTTAAAAAAAAAGAAAAGTCAAAATTGAACTATTCTGTTTTATAACCTGCTTTTCCCGCCTACAAAGAATATAGCCATATTTGCATTTGTTTGCATATTATTCAATAACATTCCCTTTTAATTAGTCTGGAATGAGAAATTACAAACATGGTTGATAGAATGCTATAGACTCAGTACGTAGATGTTTGCACCTTCAGTAGGAATTGAATACACATCTAATCGTTATACTTCTGAACTACTCCCAGTATTTGGGATGTGATGATAAATTCAAAGCTGGTGATCTGGCCTGTCTTGTGGTCTTGAGCAAATCCATCAGTTTTGGAAAATGATGCAATTTTATAGGTGCAGGGCATTTGATAGTTTGTGTGCTGCAAAATTTCTCTTTCAGTAAGCCAACTTTATTGAGGTATAATTTGCATATAATAAAATGCAACCATGTAAATGTATGATCAGTTCCAGCCCTCTTTGAGATTGTTGCCAGCCTAATAAAAAATGTCTTGCCAATGAAATGGGTGTTCAGATTTGCTTCTTAGCTTTCAGAACTACTAACTGCAGTATTTTTAAAAATTGAATATTCTTTGGACTAACTTTTGTCCATGTGATGATTCAGATAGTCTCTCTCATTTATTGATGGCTAGATTTTGTGCTGCGCATGTCACATGCCAGCAGCCTCCCTCCATAGGGATTGTGGCAGCATTCACATTTCTCGGAGCAGTGAGGACATGTTCCGAGAGGCATTGAGCAAGGCTGCATAGCTATCTGATGCTACCTTTGGATCCCGCCTCCCTGCCTGGGGATTGAGCTCAAGGTTGCTTTGCCACTGAGTTATATCCCAAGCCCATTTGGGTTTTGCATTTTGAGACAGGGCCTCACTAAATTGTCTTGGCAGGAGTCAAACTTCAGATTGCCCTGCTTCAGCCTCCAAGAATGCTGGGATTACAGGAGAACACCACCACAACCTGGTTGATAACAGGATTATGACCCTGATCTTTTTGCTAGTGATTTTTCCACTCATGATTCTTTTTTCACTCAGCAGAGTATGTCCACATTGACTTTTACATACCTACTGCAAAAGTGTACGAAGTGGTAGTTCTGCCCAGGAATACAAAGTACCTTAAATGGTACAGTACTTCTGGAACAAAGCATGCTGTTTCTGGAGATGGTACATTCATTGAGTTCCAAGATACCAGACATTCCGGTCTTCACTGTTGACCAGCACACCTCTGAAACGAATGACTTAGTTATAGCCTCATTTCTTGAGATGGCCTCCAAGAATTAATGCTAGCATTGTCCTTTGCCCCCCAAAATACAGTGCTTCAGAGTTGAAACATAACATCACTGGATGAAGAAAATCCTTTTTTTTTCATTTTTATTTATTGGCTTCTATTTGTCTCCTTTGAGAGGGATCTCTTTAGATCCAAGTTGTCATTTTGAGCTGGATGAATATATTTGAAGCCTTCACCTCACTTGGCTCATGACAGGATGTAGTGTTATGGTCTGGCGTGGCCGCTGTTTTGTGCTACGTCTAGCTTGGTCTCCTGTTAGAACATTTGTATGTGTGGTGGCATGCTGAAAAAAGGAAAATGTTGCTTGTGCCCTCTCTGACCCCTCCACAGGCATCCTTCCGTGGAAGCTACACTGCATGGTTTGTCATATGCTTTGGTGTTACACATTTCCTAAGTAGGCCCACTTCTGAAGGGGGTTTTATTCTCTGATTTGCCCAAATCCCCAGAGAGCTTCGTGCACACTTATTTATGTCTGTTGCCTTACCCATGAAGGCATTTAGGTGTTCCCTCCTTAGGATCTTGGCATTTTACGATTGTCAATCAGAACTTTGTAGTGCTGCAAAGTAGCACGTACACAGCAACTGAGGAGAGGATATAATCTTACTTCAGGTAGTAATGCTGGAGATCTACAGATAATACAATTTTTG